AAATTATCAAGAAAGAAAAATATCCCATAGGATTAACGTTTTCAAATAATTTATCTGATAAGGGAGGATGTGTATACATAATACATAAAGAGCTCTACAATAAAGAAAAGTAATCTAACTAAGACATACAAAAAGGTTATGAATAGATATTTCTCCAATGCACATGAAATGATACTCAATGTCATTAGTTATTGGTGAAATGCAAATAAAAATTACCAAGCAAATACCATTTTGTAAACACCTGAATACTGATAAAAATTAAATTCATAATAACAAGGTGACGAAGAAGTGGCAAATTAAAACTCTTCTACAATGTTGATGGAACTGTAACCAGCTAGTGGGACTGTAAATAGAAAAGTTTTTCTTTCCTCAAAAGTTAAGCATCAGCACAACAGTAACTGCGACCCACTCATTTGGTGTGTCTGTGTGTTGGGTCGTCTCAACAAAATGGAAAATGGCCTCAGAAAAAGATGCATATGAACAAATTACACTAGCAACACCATTGTATAATGAATGAATGAAAATACCTCAAATGCCCACATGTTGATATATGGATATTCAAATTAGGTGTATTCATCCATTGCAATATTGTTCAGTCATAGAAGTGATGAAGTTCTGATACAGACTACAATATGGCTGAATGTTGAAAACATTATTAGCATAGTCCGGGTTATTCTATTAATATGAAACGTCTAGAACAGACAAATCTAAGAAAACCAAAAGTCAGGAGCCAAAGGGAGGCAAAAGATCAGTGACTACTAATGGCCATGGAATGCGTTCTGTGGCTGATGAGAACATTCTGGAACTGGGCAGTGGTAACAGTTACATTTCTTTGTACAGGAAGCCGCCACACTCTGCATTTTGAAAGTTAATGTTTATGGTACATGAGCTGTATTTCATGGATACAAAGAAAAGATTTACGCCACACTGTCATACTATCTGGAAGCCTCTAGAGAGTACTGAGCCAGAGGTAGCTGAAAATCCTCAATGAAAGAAGTCTATAGTCATTTGTCTCATTTTAATTTAGAAGATATATTAGTGGGCCTGGTTTGGTAGCCTAGCAGCTAAAGTCCTCACCTTGCACGTGCCGAGATCCCATATGAGCGCCAGTTCATGTCCCGGCATCTCCACTTCCCATCCAGCTCCCTGCTTGTGGCCTGGGAAAGCAGTCCAGGATGGCCCAAAGCCTTGGGACCCTGCACCCTCGTGGGAGACCCAGAAGAAGTTCCAGGATCCTGGATTCAGATGGGCTTAGCTGCAGTTGTTGTGATCACTTGGGGAGTGAATCATCAGATGGAAGATCTTCCTCTCTGTCTTTCCTCCTCTCTGTATGTCTGACTTTCCAATAAAAATAAATAAATCTCTTTTAAAAAAGAAGAAGCAGAAAAGATATTAGCAACCCAGGGCCCAATCTCCTGGGGCAACAGGCTTGGTTTGTGCATCCTTCCCTAAGATCAGGTGCCGGGTAACAGTTCTATTTAGCACCTCCCACTACCACCACTTCATAAAGAGCAAAGGCTGGCTTTACGTCATCTCCTTGTTCCAGCATGCACAGAGAGCAATATTTTTTGTTGTTATTTTTAAGGTTTTTTTTTTGGGGGGGGGCGGGAGGGCAATGCAGATTTTATAGATAGAGAGATAGAGAAAGATCTATCTGCTAGCTCACTCCCCAAATGGCCACAACTGCAGGAACAAGGAGATTCCTCCAGGTCTCCCACATGGGTGCAGGGTCCCAAAGGCTTGGACCATCTTGCTGCTTTCTTAGGCCATAAACAGGGAGCTGGATCAGAAGTAAAGCAACCAGGACATGAACCACTACTCGCATGGGATGCTGGAGCTTAGTGGTGGAGAATTAGCATGTTGGGCCTCCGCACCAGCCCTAGAACAGCATGTTTAAGTCAAAGGTGGATGTTCTGTTCTCAGCTCTGCCATCAACCTATTTAACCCTCAGTTCCCCACTCTATTAAACAAGTGGTTGGTTCCAAAAGTCTCTAACATTTTATCTAATACAAATATTCTGTCGCTACCTTTAAAACAGTACCAATGTTCTAAAACCCTGAGATGTTTCAAAAACATATACAATTGTCAATATGCTAGAAAAAAATCCAGTATAGTAGATTAGTGAAAATTACCTAGAACTGAATTGAGCCTAACCTCTTCCCAAGGATTCTCATTTTGCCAGTCTCCTGTACTCCCTGTTTCTTCATATGCTAAGGACAGTTTTAGACGCTTCTTAATTTCACATTTGTGCACATGGGTTTCATTGCTCTCTCTGGGTTTTGTTGTGTTGGCTGGCCCCAAGGGGTAGCTGTGACAATTCACAACAGCTGGCCTTTCATTACACACCCAAGCACTGCATTTGCTCCTGTTTAAGGAACATTGGTAGCATGTATCTTTAGACCCGTGTGACCACTGTTTCCCAGGCATCTTCACCTGGCTGCCTCACAGATAATCTTAAAGTCAAATAAGCCTGATGTTATTGACGTTTCCATTAGCCTTTTGCTTGCTCTCACCCTCACTGCACCACTCCCGACCCAGATAAACCAGCTAGAGACCTTCCCAAAACACCTGTGCACTCACATAGCAACCAACTTGAGAATGCTGACCTCCTTGCAATTCTCCTGCCGGTTGCCTCCCCTCCACTCTTCCTGCATTTGGGCTGCTGGAACAGAATGCTTTAGACCAGGCAGGTTTACTAATGGCGGAGATGCACTGTGAACACTTTGAGTGACTCGAAATGCCAACGTCAAGCTGGCAACTGCTGAGGGCAGGTTCCTCACAGACAGGCCTTCTCTGTCTCCTCACAGGCTCCCTCTGATGAGAACACGAATCCCATCTAAGGTTCCATCTTCATGGCCTCATCACTTTCCAAAAGCTCCACCTCTTATTAGTCCAGTTTGAGCATACAAGTCCCAGAGCACATCAACATTCACACCACAGAATCCCCTAACCCAGGTCGCTGTCACCTTCCATCAGACAATAGCGTAAGACCCTTCGCGCTCGTGGGCTCATGCCTTCAATTCCTATGAAAGGTGATCAGAAGAAACGCATGCATGCACAAACTTAGGGATGCTCCTTCCATTTCAAACTTCCCCATGTCCTGTTGCCTAGCGCCGATGGAAAGGCCACCCCAGCCCATTCTGACCTCTCAAACATGCGGACTTTCCTGCACTGCCCCGACCCCATTCTGGATCATCTGCCATGTGCCACTTTCTCAATCAGTGCACACCGATGCTTCTCCTTCTGTGGTGTTGATACTCTGTGTCTGCTTCCGGTTTGGGGAGCAAATACTCATCTTTAACTATTCAGATTAGAATAATCACCCACTACCATCCTCACAGAAACATGAGTCACTCTTTGATTTTAAATGTTCTCATCAAAAAAGATAACAATATGAAGTAATCCTCATGCTAATTAGCTCGGGTTAGCCATCCCACAATGCATGCAGGGTTCCAAGCAACATGTTGTACCTGATATATATACACGTGTTTCATTCATCATTCTGCATCACCTGTGGTTGCCCCTCTGCATCCCACCAGGTTCCCTCCAGAACCTTCAAGGCAAGCATCTGTTTACTTATCACTTTTGTCCCACCAACCAGTAAGTTCACCACGGCCAGGTCATCGGTATCACCAGCGTCTAACATACTGTCTTACCCTATCAAGCACTTTATACATGCTTAATAAAAAATAAATAAATATGTACCGAGCACATAAATTTCTTACCAGCTTGTGAAGTGTGACACTCAAAGGAAAGCAATTTTTGAAAGTATAAATCTGCACACATGTGCTCCTGGCTGGGCAAAGTAAGTAAATGGGGAATCTGTGTCTGGGTGAGCCTGCCAACAGTCACTGACCACTTCTGCCCTTTCCTGCTCTGATGTGTGGCCAGAGCAGTCTTTTCTGAATGATGCCTGATTAGCCCCATTGCTTTGAGGAGAACCCCTTAGCACTCCAGGAGCCAGAATCCATCTCTGCAATAGCTCCTCCCATGGCTTTTCCTGGCCCCTGCTACCCAGCAGCCAGCCCTGCAGAGCCCAGCCTTTCTGCTGGGCCTCTGCCTAGTGTCCTTCCTCCCTTCTCCCACCAGGTCAATTTTGTCAGCTGCCAGCGTACTAAGTTCCCATCGTGTCCCGCTTGACTGAAGGCCATGGCCCTTTTTAACATTCAGCACCACAGAGCTGGACCTACGCATGCACACCTCCACTGTCTCTTGCAGGGAAAACCTTTCGTATTGACTCTGTACCAAATAAGAGAGAATGAGGCAGCTTCTGGCCTCTCCTCTGTAGTCAGGAACTGTCCTCCAAAATAAACACACAAAAGTTAGTGGCAGGCAGCCTAGCAAGTTTTGGTGGCTCCCTGGTGCATGGCATGGGAGGAGTCATGGGGCCCCCAGAGGCAGGTGGACACACCATCCACCACTTCAGTTCCAAGCATTCACTGAGCAGACATCTGCTAAACACACATGCAAATTACTTTCTTTCTACTTTGCATTTTCAGGATTATTGTCATGAGAGCTGAAACCTGCCCTCAGTCTGAAGCTCTTCCTAGGTACCCAATACAAGGAGACAGCCTCAAGCTCTGGCACACCCTGGCCAGCCCAGAGGTCAGGACCCAAACCAGGTGCCAAGGTGGCAGGGAGGAGCCCAGAGAAGGCCATCTCAGGGGCCTCAAGCAGCAAGCCCATAGAACAGAAAACAGGGGCAGTAGGGTGGGAGAAATGGTTGGATGGCCAGCTTCCTCCCTAGTGATTGGTCCATCCCAAGGGAGAGGCAGGGCCTGGGCATCAGGCTCTCCAGAGACCCACTAAAAAAGTCAGAATGACGTGGCGGGAACAGCTCTTCCCACACTGCAACCATCCACCTCTATCTGATGCATCCTCTTGATTGTGAGATCTGTAATGTACCTGTTTTGTTTCCCGCCCTACAGCAGGCATGGGAATGCAAGTCTACCAAGAAAGCCCGGGAAATTGAGATGACAGTGACCAAGGGTAGCTTTTACCTGGAATATGATTTGATTTGGCTCTTGACCTTCATAAATAGAAAATGTCATGGCTTTCAGGGGTCCACTGAACTTGACTTCTTGGCCATATCCACCTGCCTGTGAACAAAGAGAGAAAAATGAGCATCCATCTGTGAACTTGTGTGTCATCTGCTGATTTTGTCATGATATCCAAAACAGACATGTGAGACATAAGACTCTCATGGCTGAAAACAGAAATCTGATCACAACAGAGGTTCTATTCCATGTCTTGTAGCTTTGTACACGATGTAACCAGCACAGCAATCTGGGAGAATACTATGGGAAGAATGTGAACTCTTTGATAAAATTAAAGCGGCTCAGAGGGTTTGCACGCACTGGAGTGTGACAGGGCAAAAGCTCAGGGTCTCCCACACTGGCACTCTGCCTGTTAAGTCCTATTTAGTCTTACACCAGCTTCTTCAAACACTTCCTTCTGCTTCTGTTATTTGATAATGATATTCAGGGTAGATTCTGAGTGCCTTGGAGCCCACAGTCACCTCAAGCATAACTACATTGATAAAAGAGAAAGGATATATAGATTCATTTAGTACAGTTCTTCAAAACCACAGTTACATGATAATTTGTATTCAAATCAATCTTCATTTGTATTTTAAGAAATCAGAATCTTAAGAATTTGGATTGAAAGAAAACTTTGCTGTTTTTAACAGTTGATTAGCTCTTGACTCACTTAGAAAAAGTTAAAACTATTTATTTCAGGCAGAAGTCCCCTATGATTCAAAAACGCCAAAAGCCTACACCTAAAAGCAAAGCAGCCCTATGGCCATCCACACCCAGGGAGAATTGTAACCAGAGCAGCTGGGACAGTGAGAAGCACTTACACTTACACAAGCATGCGTGGAAGGAACTAAGCACATTTCATCTTGGCTATTATCCTACCTTGGTGAATGACAGCCCAGTTTTCCAGGTGCTGTGATTCAGGTAGAGGGAAGAGAAGCAATCTTCCTAGGGAGTAGCTGAAAGCAGAATTCTACCCAGAAACTCTGGAACCAACACTCTGGGTGTCAAAAGATTAGTGGAGGGAAAGCCAGTCTTAGTGGGGACAGGCAGGCATCTAACCAGAGAATGGGAAGCACAGGCCCTCACCAACAGAGCCCTCTGAAAGGAGAGGGAGAACAGAGTAGACACACACACAGGAAGGAAGAACCAGCCATGCCCCAAACAGGTCCCTTCCAGAACCAGGGACCTAGTGCCCATGCCCAATACCAGCTTCCCGCACCCTTGCCAGGTGGTTCTTTGCATTTCCTGTTTGTGGTGAAATGTAAGACACATCAGGCTCAGAAGCCTGACATGGCCAGTCAATGGTATTGGGGGTAAATCATATGGAACCAGTAAGAAGAATTGTACAGGGAAGAAGAGACTTTGTCCTCCACTTCTTTAGGAAGAACAAGTGTACTCCCAACCTGGAAACTGCTGCCTGCAAGGAACAACCCACAAACAATCAGCACGCAAGCCACAAGGGAAAAGGTCTCTTACTACATCCCCTAGTTTGCTGAGTCTTCACTCAGTTGATCCTGGTTGTCTGATAACAGAGAAATAACAAAGGAGAGTGCAGAGGGCTTTGAAACTTGGTCTTCTCTCCCTCCAGGTTTTAATAGGTCCACAGATAAGCTGTCCCCAAGCCACTGCCAACCCCTCTCCTTTTCTGCCTCTGGTCACAAAGATTGGGACGCCAACTGTCACTTTCCAGGTCCCTGCAGCTAGGAGGATGGCCAGTGACCTTGTTATGGTTTGTGAAATACAAGCAAGGAGTCTGAAGAAGTGTGAGGGAGCATTACTGCCAAGCTGCTTTTCCTGTTGGAAGAGAACAGGGGTAGTATTTGGTCTAGTAGTTAACACAGTACTTGGAATACTTGCATCTCTGCACAGAGTTCCTGAGTTCAAGTCCCAGCTCCACTCTCGATTTTAGCATTTTACTCTCACACAATCCTACAGCGCAGCAGTAATGGTTCTCCAGTCCTTGCCTTCCACATGAGAGATCCAGGTCCAGTTCTTGGCTCCTGCTTTCAGCCTGGCTCAGCCCCAGCCACTGTGGACCTCGTGCTCCCTTGCACATGCGCATGCAGGTGTATATATGGTATACATTTCTTTCTACTTCTCAAATAAAACAAAGAATTTTAAAGGAAAATTAAAAAGGTAGGCATTACAGCTCAGTGGTTTAAGCCACTGCTTCAGATGCTGGCATCCCATAGGAACTCCAGTCGGAGTCCTGGCTGCTCCACTTTCGATTAAGCTCCCTGGTAATGCACCCTAGAAAGCAGCAGAAGACCTCTCCCAACATGGGAGACCCAAATGAAGCTCCTGGCTCCTGGCTTTGGCTTGGCCTAGTCCCAGTAACTGTAACCATTTGGGGGAACGAAACCAATGGATGGAAGATATTTCTCTCTCTCTCTTCCTGTCTGTAACTCTGTCTTTTATATAAATAGATAACTCTTTAAGAAAAAAGAGGAATCAAAAAGGAAAAGGACAGATGTTTCTAGCATTGCTCTTTCCCTTGTTCTTGCTGAGACAATGGACACTATCTGTAGCTGGTGCAGCCATCAGGAACCATGAGAGCACAAGCGAGTTGAGAAGATGGTGGAGAGACACCATCCACATCCCATACGGAAGGGACTGCTTTGTTCCAGCTGTTACGTGCTTCTGATCAAGCTCCCTGCGAATGTGCCTAGGAAGCAGCAGGTGATGGTCCAAGTGCTTGAATTCTTGGACCACTCGCATGGGAGATCCAGATGAAGTTTCTGCTTCCTGGCTTCAGCCTGATTGTTGCAACAGTTAGGGGAGATAACCAGAGACAGAAGATCTCTTTCTGCAGTCTTTCACTCTCGCTCTATCTCTGCTCTCTCTCTCTCTATCATGCTGCCTGCCTTTCCAACAAATAAATACATCTTTAAGAAAAAAAGATGGTGCTATCAGGTAAAATAAGCCCAAGCCTCTGGTCACATCATGGAACTGCCAACCAGCCACGAGATACCATTCCAGCCCACTTAGTGTCTGGGAAAACAAACCCTTATTTTTTTTAAGATGCTCTAATGCAAAATTTCCTTTGAATTGTGGCTAAAATCATTTTTAATTTGACTTTTTTAAAAATTCAACTAATACATAAAAAGTTCCTATTTATAGGCACCGTGTGACATTTCAGTACATGTATAATATTCAAATCCATCCAAAATCTCTTTGTCCTCCAACACTTCCAAGAGCATTCTTGAGTCACACAGTAATTCTACAGAGCCCCAGCTGTCTCCTCCTTCCCAGGTTTCGTTTTGTTCCTCCTCCTCCTTTCCACTCTGTTTTTCAGTCACGCTCCTTTGGGAGGTGGGGCACAAGTTCTCGGTACAGGTGGTGCCATGGTTAGTGCAAGAGGAGGACTGTACTTCCTGCAGAGCCACCATTGCTGGCAGCAGCCCACGTCTGCCAGCTCTGTCCTGCCTCAACAGGCAGTCAGCCCTCCAACTGGCCATGTCAGGGAAAGCTACACTCACCCACCAACGTGGGGGGATAAGGCTACAGTTTTCAAATGAACACAAGTTTCCTGGCCTAATGACAAAAGGGGGCTGTGTTTCAGCCACAGGGTTCAAAGTTGGAGCCTTGTATCTGAGCAACAAATCTCTCTTCCTGCCCATTAATGTGGCTATTGGGGCTATAAAGATTTCAAAATCCATGTGCGCACTTGTGGTGAGTCATCAAGTCACCAGAACTGGGCAAGACACTGTAGTGGAAATGGGTGAAAGAACACGAAGGAGAGTTCAGCCTGGCCTTGGGAGGAAAGCACCATCTTGGCAAAGAACTGAAAGGAAGGACAGAGAATGGGCTAACACTTGCTAGGGTCCCCTGTGTGGTCAGGATTGTCTTGGCTCTCTACGTGCTTTCTCTTTTGTGGTCAATGCTACCAGGAAGCCTCTTTAGAGCAGGCCCACAGCAGAGGCATCTGTGTTGCCTCGACAGCTGCCAGACCTAGTGGTACACCAAGAACTGACTTTCAGCCGCACCCTGCATTCCACGCCATGCAGTGTGTCCCTGCAGTGTCTCCTCCAATCTCCTATGAAACCAACTCTTAGAACAGAATAGGAGAGCCACAGGCAGTAGAGAATAGAAGCCTGTTGATCTGAATCTTACATTAGGACCTCTGCTGCTGGATAGAACCTTATGGGGAAGGCAGGAAGCTTCCACTAAACTCCCAGTTTCGTTTGGGACAGGAGTGAATAGAGGTAGAAGAGAGAATAGGCTGCATTGCAATGTCCCCAAAATTTCACTGGGCCGAGAGCCATCTCCAGCCTTCACCCAGAGGCAGCTCTGCTGGGGTCACCTCCTGTGCCAGACCATTGCTACCATCTGGGAGCTTGGAGCCATTTTCCTTCCTGTAAGTAGAAGTCCCACCGGGGTGGGAGTAGGGGGAAGGGACTCTCATGCTTACCTCCATCTGGGAAGAACAACGCATGTCCCCTAAAGTTAATTTGCTGTAACAGAGTCTCACTCTCTCCCCCAAGATCTCAGATCACTGTTTCCTAACATAAGTCCTTGTTCACATATTTCATTTCTACCCTGTTTCCACCATTGGGTTGAGCTAAATCTGCAGCAATAACTGTAACATTGTCCTTTCTCCATGGAGATCAGGGTCATTCAGATGTGTACCCTGTGCTTTCAAATTGTAGTGGTAATAAAAAAGGCACCGTATATCAAATTCTTAGATTGTGCCAATCATCAATCCCAGAGCTTAATGAATGTAGTCTGATCAACTCACTACAGCAGGTACTACAAATTTAGTATCCTTTATTTAGCATTTACGGGGACCAGAAATGTTCCAATTTTTTTTTTTTTTTTAAGATTGTGAAGTAGTTTCCTAATCCCCAAATCCCATGTGCAACTACATCATTAGACCAGTCACACAGAGCAGTTAAAAGCTTGGATGAATCATTCCACTTCCTGTGACTGTTCAGTGACTGCACTGAATTTCAAGTCACCATGTTTCAATGATGTAAATATCAAAGGGCATCTGGGAGGACAGGAAGGGAAGGCAAATGGGAATGTTCAAACCAGGCCCTGTCAGGGCATCCTGGGGACAAGTCTTAAACCTCTAGACCATGAGGACACATAGGCTCAAGAAGGCCTATGTTTGAACTGCATTTGCCGCCATGCAGAAGGCTCTGGTATATTTTACAGATTTGATTCTCCTTTTAAATATTTTCAATGTGCAGGCTCTTGCAATGCTGTGGGATTTAGGGTTTGGTGTATTATCAGGGGATTCCAAAGTGAAGCAAGTAAGATTTGAGGTATGAGAATCTAGAAACTTCCATACACGGAAGAGGAAAATACTTTCTAATGTAATAAATCTCTTGGCTAGATATGTGACTGTAGGTAGCATGAGTAAAAGGTTGAATCCCACTGTCCAATCTCAGGATGATGGGTGGGACTTCAGCGTGTCCATCGAACTCAGAATCCAGGAAACCTGGAAGTCCACAAACAACCAAAAACAAGTGCAAGCAGAAAACTCCAAGTCATTTGTGTGAAGTACAGAGGCACAAAAGTAAAAAATGGAGAAAACACTTTTCTTGATGTTTTGGTGGTAATTTTTCATTGTTAAATTTTTTAAAAGTCACAATTAAAGGTCACTGACTAATATGTACATATATCAGTGTAGTTTTTTGGTTGTTTTTTTTTTCAGGTTCCTTGAGTTTCACATAAAGGTCTAGATCAAACCTTTTATTTTAAACTTTGCCCATGAACTGATGTTGAGTTTTAAGAGTGAAGGAAATGGGCCCAGTGCAGTAGCCTGGTGGCTAAAGTCTTTGCCTTACATGCACTGAGATCCCATATGGGTGCTGGTTCATGTTCTGGCTGCTCCATTTTCTGTCTAGCTCTCTGCTTGTGGCCTAGGATAGTAGTAGAGAATTGCCATAGCCTTGGGACCCTGCACCCACATAGGAAGCCCAGAGGAAGCTCCTGGCTCCTGGCTTTGGATCAGCTCAGCTCTGGCCACTGTGGCCACTCAGGCAGTGAACCAGAGGTCTTATATGTCTCTGTATCTCCTTCTCTCTGTAGAAAAGACTTTCCAATAAAAAATAGATAAATCTTTTAAAAAAAAAAAAAGAGTGAAGAAAAATTTACCTTTCCAGGTGGAAGGAGAGACGGATGATTTATATTTCACTGAAAATATCACATCAGGACAAACCATGTATCTATAACACAATTTAATTTTCACGGACTACTTTGTTTTTAAAGATTCTTTTTCTTTTTATTAGAAAGTCGCATTTACAGAGAGAATAAGAGACAGAAAGATCCTCCATCCACTGCTTCACTCCTCAAGTAGCTGCGACAGTAGGAACTGAACCACTAGAATGCCAGGAGCCCTCTCCAAGTCTCCCACGTAGGTGGAGGATCCCAAGGCTTTGGGCCATTCTCTCTTGCTCTCCAAGGCCACAAGCAGGGAGCTGAATGGGAAGTGGAGCAGCCAGGACATGAACTAGCAACCACATTGGATCTCAGTGCTTGAAGAGGGAGGATTCGGTAATTGAGCCAATACCTCAGGCACCATTTTTTTTTCTTTAAAATGATAATAACTTAAATATGGCAGGAAAATGCAAATAAATAATGAAGGAATTACACACTCTCTCTTACCAAATAAAGTATAAGAAGACACAGTGAGTAAAGATGAGCTTTAGTCATCATGGTATTTCTTATTCAAATGCCTGCAAAGAAACCAGAAATAAATAGGCTTAGTTACCAGACTGAAATCATGTCTTCCCAACTCATAACGACTTGGGAAATATTCAGCAAAACATTCAGTAAAATTGGATCCTTAAACACCAACCTTTCCTCCAAAAAGGGCAAAGCTTCGTGAGCCCTCATCCGTGGCAACCAACAAGTCAACCTTGAAATAGGCAACTTCATGTCTGCATCACTGGGTTGGAGTCTCCCCTCCATGTAGAAGTTTAGATGATTGGCAATACATTTAATCACCACCCCACTTTAAAATAAAATAATTTTTACACTTACAATGTATTCATTAAATTTTACTCTTGCCACTCTCACATATCGAATTTGTTTTTATTGTCAGTTTTGCTTTTATTCTGTGGGTAGGAAGCAGACAACGAGTTGACCACTTGGGTTCCTGCCACTGAGGCAGAAGGCATGCAATGGGTTTCTGGCTCTTGGCTTTGATCTGGCCCAGTTTCTACCTGTTGGGGGCATTTGGGGAATACACCAACAGTTGGGAGATTCTCTCTTTCTGTCTGATTTTCAAATGATTCATATTTTTTAAAAAAAAATACCATTCCAAGATTTTAGACTCCAAAAATGATAAATTCTTTTTCCTTTAATTTTATCCACGTATCTGTCTTGTTCATATGCTAAGGGAGTTACTATTAAAAATCAAGTGTAGAAGTTTCTCTAAAAGCCAGGAATCAAAACAAAGAGGTTGCAAAGATAGAAACAAATATAAACTTTATCACTGAGCAATTCAAATTAGCTAGAGAGGGGAAACAACATGATTTTTTAAACATAGCTTAGCTTTCTCATACTTTAATTAAATTGCTGGGATCATCCCGCATGGGTGCCTATTTCAGTCCTAGCTGCTTCATTTATTTCTTTTTTAAAACATTTATTTATTTTTATTGGAAAGTCAGATCAGACTTACAGAGAGAAAGAGAGAGAAAGATCTTCCAACTGCTAGTTCACGCCCCAAGTGACAGAGCAGCTGGAGCTGAGCCAATCCAAAAGCCAGGAGCCAGGAGCTTCTTCTGGATATCCCGTGTGCATAGCATTCCGAAGCTCTGGGCCATCCTCAACTGCTTTCCCAGGGCACAGGCAGGGAGCTGGATGGCAAGTGGAGCAGCTGGGACACAACCCAGCACCTTAACGGGGCCCTGATGTTTACAAGGTGAGGATTTAGCCATTGAGTCATTGCGCTGGGACCCTCATTTTTAATTCAGTTCTCTGATAATGTGCCTGGAAAAGCAGCAGAGAATGAATGCCCACGTGTTTGGACTCCTGCACCCATATGGCAGACCTGAGGAGGCTTCTGGCTTTAGATTGGCCTAGCTCTGGTCACTGCAATAATTTGGGGAGTGAACCAATAGATGGAAGATATTCTTATTCTCTCTCTGTTTCTCTGCCTTTAATAAGTTTCATGAATTCACTTCTACTGAAAATACACAGGTGGTGAATTTCCATGGAGAGCATTTGTATGTTTCCCTTTACTGCTTGATAAATTCTGCTCAAAATATTAGAATTATGCGAGGAGACTGACAAGCAATACTGATGAAGGGAAGGAAAGAGAGAAAATCTCACAGAATAGGAATCAAGATGGTGGAATAGGGTAAGGGCACGTTTAAACAGATGGAGAAACATTTAATCAGGATGAAGCAGAGAGGACACATTCCAGGAAATAGGAAAGGACAGAACAACAGCAGAGGGGTACCTGGAGACTGACAGACACAGGAAAGCAGCGGGCACAACAGTGTGTTGTTTCAGTGACTGATACTCCAGCTAACAGCGACCTGAACTCCACCAGCAGTCGGAACTCCACCAGCAACCAGATGGGAAGGGACTTTCATTGGGAGCTTGGGAGGTGAATCCAGACAAAGAACTGTCCGTCCTGCTGGTACGTTTGATTTGACCAGAGACAGAGCAGCAGATATCAGACAGGTAGTGCAAGAACAGGGTGGGTTTCATAGCCCAGTCAGCCCCTAGAGCTGAATTGGCACCATTTTGCATAAGGAGGGAAGGGGCAAGAGAAAGGACTGAGCATGCTCTGACCAGGGAGTGAGATAATTTCTGACTCGGTGAACTGCAATGCTGTGGCATTCTATGGGTTCCATCTGGGGCAGCTTTGGATAGCCCTCGGATCTGACGACAGCAGATCAAAAACTGTAGTGGTAGTATGTCAGGCACCATTTTGCGCACTGTGGCAATAGCTTTCAGACTGCAGGGGACAACAGTGAACTGCGCATGCACTGAGCTTGCAAGAACTCGCTAAGATCCCGCGTGAAAATAATACCGACTGTGTCATCATGCCAGTCAAAATAGGTCCGTGTGGCACCCAGAGTTAACGTCCAACAGGTTCCAACAAGATCAGACCCACCAACAACCTAACTAGATAGGACACTTGGTGTCTCTCTAATCCTGAGACCTGCTTCAACTGGAAGTGGGAGAAAGGTTACAGAGACAATGGTGCAGCCTCAGCACGGTATCACAGGAGGAGAGTGGTGAGCCAAGAGCCGGGGCTGTGGAGAACACAGTGGAAATCTGACATAAGAGCCCAGACCTGGAACTTGCTGGAGGTTGTGGCACAAGTGGCTGCAAGCAAAAAGTTGTGTACCAACTGCACTAAGTAAAATTGCATTGTAGACATGTGGGTGACACAGCTTAGAAACCTGCCGCAAGGAGAAGATTCTGTAACCAGAAGTACAATGATCAAGAGCAAAGGAAGAGACAAATGTACAATGAATATTACTGAAAACTCCCCTGCAAAGGAGCAAAACCCTATGCCAACCTCAGAGTTAACTGAGGAAGACATTGAGAAAATGGGGGACACAGAATCCATAAGACTCATTTTAAAGCTTCTCATCAAAACTGAGAAGCTCATGTAAGAGTTCAAAGAATTTAAGGAAGCAATAAAGCAAATCAAGGCTGATGTATCAGAAATTAAGAACACAATAGAGCAAATTAAAAGTAAGGTAGAGAGTCTCCAAAATAGAATGAAGAAGGCAGAAGAAAGAATCTCAGAATTGGAAGATATTTCCTGTCATGAGGGGGAAACCAACAAAAAGCTGGAAGCAGAGTTGGATCAGGCAAAAAAAAGTATTCAAGAATTGAAAGACACTATTAAGAGGCCAAATATAAGAGTTATGGGAGTCCCAGAAGGTGCAGAAAGAGAAGCTGAGTTTGCAAATATGTTTAATGAAATAATCAAAGAAAAGTTCCCTAATCTGGAGAAAGAATTGGGAAACAAGATCCAGGAGGGACACAGAACTCCTAATAGGCTTGATCAAAAGCGATCTTCACCAAGACACATGATCATCTAGCTCTCTTCAATTGAACATAAGGAAAAGAATCTTAAATGTGCACATGAAAAGAATCAATTGACATATAAAGGCAGGCCAATTAAACTCACAGGAGATCTCTCATAGGAAATTCTATAGGCCAGAAGAGAATGGAGTGACATATTCCAGATTCTAAAAGAAAACAATTCTTGGCCGAGGATAACATATCCAGCAAAGCTTTCTTTTGCCTTTGACAATGAAACAAAATTCTTCCACAGTCAAGAAAAGCTAAAAGAATTTGCATCTTTCAAATCTGCCCTACAAATGATACTTCAAGATGTTCTCTTGACAGACAAGAGGAATAGCACCTACCAAAACCAAAGGCAAATGGGAAGAACATCCCAGTACAATGACAACAGAAGACTAACCCAATGAACAACCCATTCCTAAAATGACAGGACCAACGTACCACCATATATATTAACTCTGAATGTAAATGGCTTAAGCTCACCAAATATCATAGATTAGTAGACTGGATTAAAAAATTAAAAAAACAAACCCCATCTGTTTATTGTCTGGAGGAGACACATTTCCCCAGCAACGATCAACGGAAACTATATCACATGGGTTTTGTTGTTTTCTCTTGGTTTCATCTCTTCAAAACACTTTCTTCTGATTAAATCATTCAATGACTCGTAGATCATGCAGTGGCATCATTTTCTTCAAGAACATTCTTGATTTTCATTTCTTCAGCTACATGTTAGTCATTTAATAGCATGTTATTTAACTTCTTGGTGTTGTTAATTTCTTTTTTCTTCCTGGTGTTGATTTTGTTTTGGGGTTCTTCATTTAAGGGAATGTATAGTGTATGAATGTGTAGTGGAGACTGTCATATCTAGTAACATGTCATTTAACTTCATGGCATTGTAAATTTCTATTTTTCTCTTCATTGTTGATTTTGTATCATGACTTTTCATTTAAGGAGATGTACAGTAGCTGTGAAATGGAGACTAACATCCAGATGTGAGGATGCATTTCTGCTTCCTGACAAAGATGGACTTACAATGAAACTGTTTACTATATCTTGACAATAGGATTCTGGACTCTCTGCCATTGTCCATACCCGCGATGATGGACATATGACTGAGTATGAAAAACTGTATGTTAGTAACGATATAGAGGAACTAGGTGGGGGGAGGGAATTGAGGATGGGATATGGAAATATGGATCTGTATCATAAAATTATAGCAATAATAGTAAAATGAAAAAAAAGAAAAAGTTCAGAAGAAAAAATCTCACAGAATAATTTGTAGGGACAAATAAAGTATTTGATCTTCATATTACTATTTTTCATGTATTAGGGTTCAAAGTATTTTGACTTATTGACACTAACGAATTATGCCTTAGATACTATTGTGTGGAACTAGTTTGGCCCTGCTAATAAGGTGACTTCCTGGGACAATTTTTGTATTCTATATTGGAATTCTTGTAAATTGACAGAAAATGTATAAGAACCTATAATATTACAGATACTTTTTAGTTTTTAATGATTTGTCTTTCTTTATTTGAATGGCAGAGTGACATAGAGCAAGAGAGGGTAGCAAAGGGGGGCTGGGGGTGAGAGAGAGTGTTCTGTCCACTGGTTCATTCTCTAAACGACCACAGTTGCTCAGACTGAGCAAGACC